GAATATTTGAATCATGGAAAATCATGTCTGGCTGCAGATTGAGATGGAAGGGTTACTGCTATTAATATTTAATTACAAAATATCTTATTAAAAATTATTTGATATTTTTTATTTTCTCAAAGGGCAAAACAGCTGCCCCAAATGTGGTATGGAAGCTACTTTTATTTATGTTTAGTTTAACTTCAATTGAATGTTTTTTTGGGGGAATAGGTTAGTTTGTTTATAGCACAATATATGAAGTACTGAATTAATTTGGTCCTAATGCATGTGTTAAATACACACATATGAAAATGCAAGGTTTTCTTACTTGCTAGCCTCCATCCACCTGCATTAAAACTATTAACTTAGGCTAAAAAATAATCCCCAGCAGTACCCAGCAGGAGGGCATTAACACAGGATTTGGGATGGTAAACTTTTCCAGGATGCGCAAGAAGGCCTTTACCCCAACCTCTTTGTTGTGTGGTTACAAAAATTAGTTAGTAATTCCTAATAGGAAAGTATGCTTCGTTTCAGTGAATATATATTTTATTTTTTACTGAAGTGTTTTACTGCAATTTTTATATGACTTTCTCACTTTGTATGTTTGCTGTTCTTTATTTTGATTGTTGTATTACATGTAAAGATGTGTAGATTTGCGAGCAAGTGGATTACTTTTATGGACTGCCTAGTGGTCCATCCAGTAGTGGGGCAATCCACAAAAAATGTATACAGCTGGGTAGTATTTGCCCAGTACTGTGCCCTGTCAGATTAAGGAAAGCATAATAAACTGAGCAGAGTAACCACTGGTCATTTGGTTGCCACCACAAAAGCTTCTATTATGAGCTTTGCATTTTAATTTGATGTTATTGTAGAGTACTCACCATTAATGGGTTGCCAATACATCACAATGGTGTGTCCCCATGCATGATGCCTTTGTTAGCAACTCAGCGCATAACAACACACAGTATGTGCAATATGTTGCTTGCAGTGCATTGCCCTCAACTGTACAGGGTGTTGGGGTGCCATTCACAATGAATGATAATGAACTGCACATAGAGCAGGTGCTCTACTGTGTGGTGTAGTAATGTGAGCATTTTAGCATGTGTTTCCACAACATACAAGTCTAATTGGACCCTTAATGCTTGACTCTATTACGTAGACCTCTATTTGAATGTTAGCCCCTTTTGTGTTTTTTTTTTTCTTTTATGATTTTTCATAAGTACTGATATTTTTTCTTGATTTAATGTGCAGAATGTAAATGCAATAACACATTTTTAAATATTAAAAAATACGTATTAATTTGCATAGGCCAGTTATCTGTCAGTAAAATATTTAGAATTTTGGTTATTCAGTGCTAAGATGTTTACACTTGAGTCCTTATAGCATGTGCTTTATTCAGATAGGAGAAATTCATAGCAGTGGATAAAGCTGGTTAAATATAGTGAACCTGTAGGAACAGTCACACTACTAAACCTATGGTTCAAGCAGAAAGATGTTAGCATATGGATCCCTTGTTTTAGGATATCTTAATCCAGCATTGCCTGTAATTTTTCCAAAGTTGCAATTTAGATGCTGCCTTTCGCAATATATGCATAACCATAAGCATGCCTTTCTGCCCTCATATGGTAATACCCAGGTCTTTCCTTTAGGCCACTTAGGCACCAGAGATAGCATCAATGGATGGGAATAAGGACATGCCTACTCTGACCATGACGACGTCAAGACACTGCAATAGCTTGCTGGGCTAGGTTGGTGCCTAAAAGTGCTGGTGCCACAAAGAGGAATATATTGGCCTTCTGTTGGAGCCAGTAATTTAGTGCAAGTGTTGGATCTACTGCTTTCCAGACTTTGTGCTTTTGCATTAAACAGCAGTTATCCTATTAGGACCCAGTAGTTAGTAGCCCAACAATTTCTTTTATCAGGTCTCCCCTACCTACCAGCCCACCTTCCCTAGCCCTGTCATTTAATATAGCTCAAACATCCTCCCCCAGGTGCATACTTAGCTTCCTGACAGCGGCGACCTCCTCTAGCGATGAATGTGTCCCATGCAGAAATCTTCTCCAATGCTGCACATTGGGTCCCTATAGACATGAAAGGGCTGAACGTGTAAGGAGTAAACACTGGAGGAGGCTGCCACTGTCAGACAGAGGTAAGTAAGCAAATAAGTGGGTAGCGACTGGGTTAAGTTAGGAGGCTGTGGAGGGTGCGTTGGGTTTTTGTATAAATGTGAACTTGACCTGTATGCCTCCTAATGCTAAAAGGGCTAAATAGTAATGGCTGTAAACATTTTAGCTTGCCTCAAATGAATGGACATAAAAAAATTTTTACACTAGTAACTTAAATATTTTTTTGCATTAAAAATGTTATTCCTTTAGATTTTAATCTTTTTTTTACATACATTATGTTTTTAACACATTTTAGCTGATGTTTTCAAATACACACAACCTGTCTTAGCTACTAGTTGTGACAGTTTAACTAGACATCTAAAATGAACTTTGTATATTGTACATTCAGGATATGTAACTGAGTTGACTGTTGTTTATTTTTGGTTCTTATAGTTGAATTCCTATTGTTTATCTTAATATAGAATCTTGTGGTGATATATTAATGTGACTGAAAATGCACTTTATGCATAGGTTGCATGCAATTACCATACCAGTCAACTGAATGGCTGACAGTCCAGCCACCTTGGGTAACCACAACTGTACAGATAATGCAGTGTCCATACATCTAAAAGAAACTAATGTGCAATTTCACACCATGTTGTATTTTACTGATACAAAATAGCATTTTCTGCAGAATTAGGTTTTCAAATACTGCTCCATTGTTTTTGTTCCTTTTCTTTATGTTTATGTTGTAATGCAACAAATTCCATTTTTCATCAGCAAATAGAATTTGAATGCCATATTCGATTTAAGTGTATTCATTCTATTCTAGCTCATAGTAACAGCCTCCATCAGAAAACTGCTTTAACATCAACTTCGAAAAGCCAGGATTGTTAGCTATACTGTTGCCCAACTTTTCAACTACTTGATTCAGCAATTTAAGTGTCTCTGCTTATTTTTGATCTTTTGTTTTTGTCCATGCAATAGCTCAACTTTAAATTGGAAGGGCTTAAAGATGAACTCAGGAGGAGTAGAGGCTGCGAAACAAGAGTAACTATTACTGATCAAAGGAGCTGCTTCCATTCGCAAAAAAAATGCTTTGCGCTATGAGTTTGAGCTCCTTACTATACTTCGTGAAGATTCCTGACTTCCATTTTTCTTCCTTAGCGCTGTCTTTCCACTAACATTTTTCTCTTATTAGCTTTTCTCTTGTGTCCTTTGGATATCTGTTTTTTCCACGCTAGTTCTTTACTAGTCTACTTGTTTATTTTTAGGACTCATTTGTGTTGTTCTAGTTTCATTTCACATTTCCTAGATGTGTTTATTTGAAGCACACCTACATGTTCTGTACTTCATATGTACTTGTCCAGCCATGGATGTCCATAGTTTGTAGAAGGTGTTATTTTGTAGGTGCAGTTTCTTGCATATATCATGATTTTATGCCACCATCACTTCACTGACATTTTTTGTCGTCCGTCCTGACTTGGTTCAGGTTATGTTTCATAAATTCTATAGCACATACTTAATTATTTATCTTCTCTTAAAGGATGTGCTAACGTATTAACATTGCAAATTTCTTTGGAAATTTTTTTATAGTAGTTAGCAAGTTGCTTAAATTATACTTGGTTCCAGTTCTCCTAAACAACCCACCAAATCTAAAATGCAAACTGGGTTATATTACGTTGCTATGAGTAAAATTTGTTTCTCTGTATTTAGCAGACTATCAGAGGCGGATGATTACTGAAATTACCAGGGAGCAATCTATAATCAACTAATTTAATTACAACAATCTGCTGAAAAATATATTGAAACGTTGATGTGAACATTGTTAGCATCTGTATGTAAATATGAAGCAACTTGTGTGTGATGATTATTAACAATCTAAGTAAGGAGGAAAGCCAGAAATTGCCTTTATTGCACTAATATTTTACTAACAGCATTGCTTCCTCCATTTCAGATACCACATTACCTTTTTTTCTATTTGATCATTTTTTATTAAAACAAAATTGATGCCTTGTATTCTGACATAATGTACCCGTTACTAAAATTTGTGAAAATAGGTTTTTTTAAAAAAAAACTGCTTCCCTGTTCCACAATTGGCACATTTTGTAAATTGCTGTTTTTTATTTTATTTCAAAATAAATATTTTGATTGATCATTTCTGGTCATTAGCTGACTACAAAAATACTTATGTCCCTTCATAACCCACATTGAAAATCTACATATGTAAGTTTAAGGAAAACAAATCTGAACCAAACCAATAAGATGCCATGTTTATTAAATGTTTTTTGTTTTATTTTTTAAACCTTGTTTTTCCAGGAAGGACAATCATAAACCACCATCAGTTGCAACATTACTGTCATAATTTGTTCCATTACAGCAAGTAGGCTGTATTGCTTGGTAGAATTCAAATGTTGTGTGGTTGTAATTATGTATTTAGGTTTATGGGTTGGCTTCTGTGACACCGGATTTTTTTATTCATCTGAAAATCTAAGATTCCAACGTTCATGCACTGGAATCCAAAAAGTGTATTTTAGTCAACAGAATATAATTCAAATAGCAAAGCTATATTTTGGGGTGCGTGACCTCAAAAGATACTATATATTGTTTAAAAATGTCTGTCACTTAGCATATGTTTTGTAAAATTACCCAAAAAATCACTAATTCTTTTTATTGAGTTTACATTTTTAAGTATTTCTAAACTTTTAATATGTTTGAATGGTTATATAGATATCACCTTGTCTTCATAGCACTAAACAATAATTTCTAGGAGCCTGCCCATGAATTGCCTTTTTTTTGCCAGAAGGGTTGCAGCACATTGCTGGGCAATGCGTTACAAGTCACTATGGCACTTAAGGTTATACATGTGTGTGTACTCTGCTCCCCATGGTGATATACTTGTTATTGTCTTTTCAGGTCCAGTCCAGATGTAGCAGCAAGGAAAACATCCTCAGAGCAAGTAAGTAATATGCTTAAATTGTACTATTTAACATTTTCATATTGTATTCTCCTAAAGAAGACCTTAATTTCAGAAAACAAAAACCAGACACTAAAACCCTCAATTTGTTTGATGACACATATTGCCATTGCAAATTCCAGAGAACAGATGCTAATAGCTTGGCTTTGTTTAATGTCTCCACCCCCAAAACTAACATTTAAAGTGTTAGCACACTTTTACAGAAAAAAATGTGAAGGTGAACTAACACCTAACACCCTCCCCACCCCCACGGTCCCCATTGTACTTAGCTCTGGAGCTGCTGAGCTCTCAGCACCCTCACAGCTGGTCCAGTGGTCCAGGGATTTGAAATCCATGCTCTTCTCCTTCCCCAATGCTTCCAGGATGGACCAGATCAATTCTCATTAGCCAGTGCCATTACAGTGAATCGCTGTGGTCCATCCCGGAAGCCACTGCAAGGAAAAGAGGGAGAAGAGTGGGTTTTCAATTCCCCAGACCACTGTGGGAATGTTGACAGCTTAGCAGCCCTGGAGGTAAGTACAGTGCCACCAGCACTGTTCATTTCAGGATAGAAGCACTTTTTCAACTATCCGAGAGGCTCTGGAGTGGTGCAGGGCTATGGGCTGGAGAAAGTTCCTGCTAGCATTGGATCAGGCTAAAGCTATTGATTGGGTCATCCATGATTACCTGTGGCTGCTTCTTGGCCTGTATGTCCTGGTAAGGGGCTTTATCGATTGTCTGAGGACCTTGTATAGAGAGGATGAACACTTCATGCTTGTGAATGGTTGGATCAGATGGCCCTTTGAGGTTGGCTCCTTTGTGCATCAGGGGTGTCCTTTGAGTCTAGTGCTGTACCCATTCACAATTGATTCCTTCATCAAGAGGTTAGAAAGCAGGCCATTGTGTGGGGTTCCTTGGGGCATTCCTGATGAGCCTTCTCTGATGGTTGTGGCCTTGGTGATGAATCAGTATACTCAGGCATCTGGCTCAAAGATCAATCAGGGTATGTGTGAGAGTTTCTGGATGGGAGAGGAAGGCACCTTCCAGATGCCTTCCCAGAGCTCTGACAAGAGATTTAAGGCATCAAATTTGGTCCCGGCGATTACGGCCTTACTAATTGGGTAAATAGGCTACCAGATTCCAATGTCAAGGTTGCCAGTTGGAAGCTTTCGTACAGTGAAAGGGTTGATCTGATTAAAACATACCTGATCCTGGTATTTTTATATTTCAGCTTCTTTTGTTTTTTACCAGTGTGTCTCAAAGCGATGATCTACAGGTGTTTCAACTGTTATGGGGTAGCAACTGAACCTCTTTAAGAGGTCTGTAACATATCTTCCCAGGCAGATGGGTGGCTTAGGTATGGTCAACCCAGTGGTATTCTATTCTCTGATTTATTTGAAACATAACTTTGGTAACATACTGCCAGAAGAACCATCTTGGTATTTTTCAGTCCTGGTTTAGGCCTTTTCTGCAAATCTTGGAGAGTGGTGGGCCAGTGAAAAGCCTAAGGATCTGACATGGTAAGCTCCCTAATTATGTTGCTCCATGTCTGAAAATGCTTCAGCAGCTGTGAGTGATAGCGGAGGAAATAAAAGTATCTTCCTAGGAAGGCCCTGGAAGGAAGATTGATGAATGTATTTACTAAACTACAGGTCTTGAAGGATTGTCTGGGCTCTGTTATGAGGGAGGGTCTATGTTTCATTAATCTTGAGAAAATCCCATATCAGGATACGAGATATATAAATAGTGTTGTTTGCTGAGCTGTCAAATATTCCATGTTGTACATATCGTGAATTTGTTTGTAAAGAACTGCTGTAGAGTTTGGTAGAGTTTTTTTTCCATTTTAAAGCTATCAAGGATCTAGTCGTAGTTAAAACATGTTTTATCAGCTTGGTAGCGAGTTTGGCTGTTTTCGGAATGCTCAGCCCTTGAAGGTAGTGTACTGGATCTAACGGGAATGGAGGGTAGAATAATGATTCTAAGAAGGTTTTAGTGTGTTCCCAAAAAGGGCGTATCTTGGGAAACTCCCAGTATATGTGGTGTAGGGTCCTTACCAAGTCTTTACTTCCCCAACAAATGGGAGTTGTGATCGGATTAATCGCATAGAGAATTTCAGGTGTAAGGTACCAGTCAAATAAAACTATGAGTTTAGTTTTTTACATTTCAGAATGGGGTGCCTAAATATTGCGCAGACTTTTAAAAGGGTGTCTTGACTGAAAAAGGTTGAGAAACACTGCTCTATATAAGGAAAAAAAAATTAAGTAATGCAGCAACATCCACTTATGTAGGACACCCAACATTAGAGGTGATTTGTTCTTCTGAAACAAACTCACCTTTGCACACTGATACTGAGTAGTATTCCAATGTTTCTCTTCTCCATCAGTTTCTCTCCCTCATGACTGCAGTGCTGACAGAGAGGGGCAGGGGAGGGGCTCCTGACATCCTCCTGAAATCCTCTGCTGATGTCATTGGTTGTTAGGATGCCAGTGGCTGGAAGGTTGTAATGGTGCACTATGAAAACCTGTGGCTTTGTGAAATTACAGTGTAGACTTGAGCCACCTGCTGGCGTGTATACAGTTTTTGGGCAATTTTAGACATTTTACCAAGGCACCCCTGAAGAAAACTGAAGGCACCCCAGGGTTAAAAAAGGCTGATATAGAGTTCATAAAGAAGTGTTGGTAACGCTATCTGTAATGAGCCGTCTAGTTGTACCTCTAGTAACCCACGGATCAGGTTCCCCCAGAGCGCGGAGTCTAAGTCCCGGTTCACTTATTCACCAAGGCCCCTGATGGTGGGGATGGACTTGGAGCAAACCGAGACCAGGTCGCGGCTCCGGAGTACACCTACCCGTGGCAGAGGAATTCGCAAGAGGCCCCCGCAGGGATAGAGTCTGATGTGAAGAGGCGGATATGCCCAGGCCAGGTGGATGGATGAATGGATGAGCGAAAGTGTAGTCGGTAGCCGTGGGAGTGGTACGGTACAAAGCAGCGGGCAGAGAATGGTCGGGTCACACGCCAGGTCAGCAACAGAAGATCAGGTCCATAAGGGAGCATCCAGGAGAGAGGTCAGGCAAGCTAGGGGTCAGAGCAGGAGAAACACAGCAAGGTCAAGACGATCCGGGTCAGCAACAGTAACTCAACAGCACAGGTACAGAATCAAGGACACAGGGATGCGAAAGACCATTTGGCGATTCCTGTCAGTGCAGGGAGGATTTAAATATTGCGCCCTGCACTGTCATTGGTGCCAGGCGTGCACTCGCGGATCCGAGTGCGCATGCGCAGATTTCATCTCAGCCACGGCCGGCCAGGACCTAGTGCCCGTACACCAGCGTGAACGGGCACACTGCGCCTGTGCCGAGCCGCGGATCGTGGCAGCTCCTGACATTATCCCAGTTATCCTCCCACTCCTCTAAGTCCAGGATGCGGCCGAGAGCATTTTCCCACATTAGCATATAAGTATGTTTTTGAAAAGGGAGGGAGCCAGTTGTAGTGAGAAGTCTATAGATGTCAGTGATGAGGTGCTGACGTGTGGGGCCATCCAAAAGGTTTTCTCAAAAGGGGATAGTTTAGCAACCTGAAATTTATGAAAAGGTGACTGCATAGTATTGATTTCTAAATTAGTAAGCAATGTTCTAAAACTATGGCATAGGTAAACTGTAATTCTGTGCAAGGGAGTAACTGTCCATTCATGGGGTCTACAGTATCACAAAAGCAGAATAGGCCGGGTTCCAGACATGGTCGGGCCATCTGTCGCTCAGTTGCTGGGGGCATCATGGGAGTACCTGTGGGAGACCTTATTGGATAGATAGAATTTGGCATTGCAATAAGACCAAATATTTGTAGCATGGAGCATAGAGGTTAAAAGTTGGGTGTCCTTTATATAGGGTTTTACGGAACCGCACTAATGAATTAATATGAAAAATGACTATCCAAAGAAGTTCAATCTCTGACCACCTATTATGTGGGTGTAGTATAGACCTAGAGGTTAGGTGACATAGTTGGGCAACGAAATAGCATTTTGTAACATCAGGAAAATGTAAGCCCCCTTGCGATTTGCATGACAGTAAGACCTTTCTAGTAACTCTTTGCCTACCACTTCCCCAAGAAAAAATCGAGAAGAATTTGTGTAGCTTTTTCAGGTTGGGAAGGGGAACCCTAATAGGTAGTGCTTCATAGAGGTTGACCAAGTTGGGGAGTAGCATAGCATTTTAATAGGTGATACTACCTATCCACAATAGATAAAATGTTAGATTCCTTGAATAACGGAGAATAGTTTGTGCCATAGAGTTGGGAGATCTTTGGCGTTAAGCAGGCCCCCAAGTATTTGAGTTGATCTGTTTTCCAGTGGTAAGTAAAGGAAGACTGTAACAGCAAAACTGTGCTCAAGGATAATACGTAGCACCTCCATCTTTGTCAGATTCAACTTATAACCCGACATGAGAAAAAGTCACAAGTTCCATATACAGATTTGGTAAGGAGATGAGCGGTTTCATGAGTCTTTGAGTCAGTTTTGTTGAGTGCACATTGAGATAGATAATCCTGAATGCATGATTTAGGAGTGGGGCCATCATTGTTGTAAGGTGCTTTTCCCAAATGATATAAATGGGTGTAATATTCTTGGAAGACAACTGTTTTTTATAGCAGGGTCAGATTGAGGAATGACTTGATTATCTTTGATGGAGTGATTGGCTGTGGACAGCTAGTCGGCTTTGAGTCTTTGCACTAACATGTTATGGGCCTTGATACCTTTCTCATTAAATATCTGATGTGTGTTTAACATAGTTTTCTCAACTGCTGCCATGTCCTGCTGCTGAAACTGAGCTCTAGAGCGTGTAGCACAGCAGAGGTTGACCAGGGAGGGCCTGTGAAAAAGATAGTGATGCAGTAGCCTCTGAATACTGCTTTGTGAGCTTCCCGTAGTTTACTGTGTAGTAAAACAGATACTGTGTTAAGTTAGAAGTCTTAGCAAAGATGATCCTCTAATTGTGTTTTTTCCTAAAATAA